GTGGCACTGAGGTGGCACTCCTGTCACCGACCCTGGCACCGCAGTGGCACTCCCGTCACCAACTCTGGCACCACAGTGGCACTGAGGTGGCACTCCTGTCACCAATCCTGGGCACCTCCGGTGGCAGCGACTCCTCGGGGTTCTGCCGTCCCTGCCACGCAATGGCTGCACGCTCGCGTCGGGCTCCCCTCCGCGCTCTTCTCCCCGCCCCGGGATGTACTTGCGTCATTCTGGGGAAAAACCGGGATCCTTTGGGAATCCTGCCGCAGGTTTCAGCATTCCGTAGCACCAGGTAAGGAGTCTTCTCCCAGAGCACCCCCTCAGCCGGCTCCCGTTGCTCTGTGCCCGGAGCCGTCGCCACGAACCGCTTCAGTCCGCCGCAGAAACAGGTCAAGCGAAAAATGGAGCTGGTGATCAGAAAACAACGCCCAGAAACCCGCTCCCATTCTGCTGCTCACAAACCTACGCCGCGAGCTGAGCTCCGCTTCCCCGGCGGCAGCGCGTCGATTTCTCAGGCGCACGGGCAGGGCCGCGGGAAGAGACGGGGGCCTCGCCCTCGCCGCGCGCTCGCAGCCGACGCGAGGACGGCCGCAGCCCTTCCCACCGGTGCCCGGCACAAGGAGCGGCCCTGACTTGGAGGTCGCCTCTCCGCCTGGGGAGATCACGGCGACGAGGACAGTTAAAGGCCTCGCGGAAAATAGAGAATAGGAAATTTGGAATAAATTTTTTTTTTTACTTCCTATTGAATAGGTCAGCCCTTCGTTTTCAGCGGGGGAACAATCCTCAACATGAAAGCGTCTCGTTAAAAGCCAACCGCCCCTCATTTTAACAGCTATCGCCGCCTTCATTCTCACCAGTTCCACGTACCGCGTCGGTCTGTGACACTGCCGTGCAAGCGGAGCCCAGCTCTGACACAGAAGGCGCCGAGAGCCGGCGCTGCGGGAAGCCTGCGGGACGGGGCCAGCTCCGGCATCGGTGCCTCGGCACAGGGCTCCTGGCTGCTGCGGTGAACGGGTCCCGTACCGGCGCCTGCCCCGGGTTCCTCTGCGGTTCGGCGCCTTGCACCCGAAGGGAACACGTCTGCGTCTGCTTGCAGGACTCGCCGGCACGCCCAGCTGCGAGGTGCAGCCGAAGACGGCGCGCAGGCCCGCGCACTGGGCGGGGAGCGGCGACGGGCAGCCCCGTAACGGCGGCTAGAGGCCCGTCCTGAGTTAGGGCTTCTCCTGGCCCTACCGAGTGCCTCAGCCTTGACTGTTGTTGGGTTTTCCCCTCTCGTGAGCCCTAATATCTAGAAACTATTTTTAGAAAGGTGGTTTTGTAACATTTGCACCAGTATTTTCCTTAAACACGGATATTGAACAAAAGACCAGCGATGGCTGCCTTCGGGGTGGTCTGACGACCGGGTGGTTGCGAGAGGGAACCTGCGAAGGCTCGGCCCCGGGAGCAGCCG